AAAGGACGGGGAGGCTGAGCAAACATGAAAAGATGTTACAACAGATGCTATAAATGCATTCATGTGTTCAGGAATGTAAAGAAAAGTGAATACGACAGAAAAATAGAATATATAAGCACAAACTGAAAACTCCTAGAAATGATAAGCGATACGCCAGAAATGAACACCTTCCTATCATGGGCTTAAAAAACTACAAGAGGAAATGTTATATAGACCAGCATCTCAGTGGAGTTTATCCAAAGCACACCGGGAGAGGAGGAGCACAGGGAAAATCTCAATGGCTCTGGAAATACTGATGCAGCATGGCATATCATCATCAGAAAGAGATGTGAGCAATCGGGGCAGAAAAACATTTGCGGGAATAATGGCTCAATGTTGTGTGGTGTGTGAGAGAACCGTAACACAGAGGGAGAATTCTCAGGGACTGGAGATGTAGCTCAGTGGGAGAGGTCCTACCCAGAATGTATACGACACTGGGTTAGATCCAACCCACAAAACAGACAAACAGCAAAACATGGAAATGTCATATATGGTCCCTCAGCTATGAAGTCCCAGAACTTAAGAGGCTGAGATAGGAGGATTGAAAGTCATAAGCTAGCCTGGGCTACATAGTAAGATAGTGTCTCAAAAACTAAAAACAAAAGGAACCTCAGTGAACCTCAAGAATCACACGCACGCATACACACACACACACACACACACACACACACACACACACACATACCCCAAACCACTTCAATCTGTTGGGACAATCTTTTTGTACACTGTGTGAAGACGTGTCTCTGTTTAACTTCACCTGCCTAAGGCACCTTCTGACTAGTTTAATAAAGAGCTGAACAGCCAACAGCTAGGCAGGAGAGGATAGATGGGATTTCTGGGCAGAGATAGGAACTCAGGAAAGAGTCTGAGGCGCCGGAGATTCACCAGCATCTGAGGACATCAGATGGATGGTACTGAGGACAGGTAATGAGCCATGTGGCAGAATTTAGATTAATATAAACGGGTTAATTTCAGTTTTAAAAGTTAGTTCAGAACAAGCCTGAGCTGAAGCCAAGCTTTCATAATTAATAAAAAGTCTCCATGTCATTATTCAGGAGCTGGCGACCCAAAGAAGGACCCATTATATCAACAAATAGCACAATTAAGTTATTGAAAAACTAGAAACATCATCAACTTGAAATTGGAGAATTAGAAAAATAAGTTATGCACACGCAGGCAAAAATGGAAAAAGCAAAGGTTAGGATTTCTAAGAACTATCAGCAGTTATGTCAGCTCAAAGCCAACACACAGCTTTCAAGTAGGGAAGGGGGAGGGAAAATGCCCTGTGTAACAAGAATTTGTGAAATTATCCTTTAAAAATGAAAGCTAAATTATAAACATACTTTCAGATAAATAAAAACTGAGATAATTAAACAGATGTGAAACTACACGACGAAAAATGGTATGTGATAGCTTCCAGGCAAAACCAGAATGATGTCACTATATCTACACAGAGAAATAAAATGCTGGAAATGAAATACATGTGGGTTAGTTAAAATTTGTCTCCTAATCCTGAGGTCTGTAGTGGACAACTGCTTATTAGTATCAGAACAATAGCTGAGGATGTTGTTTAAAACACAGAAATAAAATGCAAGACAATAATAGCATAAAGGACAAGAGAAAGATTTGAAACAAATACTGTAAGGTTTCAAATCATATATGAAGGCCAGAAATAGTAGTGTATACCCAGCACTTGGAAGGCAGAGGCAGATGGATCTCTGAGTTCAAGGCCAGCCTGATCTGTTTCCAGAGTTCCAAGCCAGCCAGGCCTACATGGTAAGACCATGTCTAAACAAAAACAAACCAACCAAGCAAAACAATCAAGCACACAAAACAAAACCGCAAATCACATGTAAAATGTTATAACATATCTTAAAAGCATACCATAATAAGCCAAAGATACTTATCTTAAACTATAGAATAATATTGGCAATCGACATTGTGAACAACATATATAATTTGAAAATTGTTAATATCTACATTTTAAAAACCTAACCAAAAATACACGAAACACCTTTTAATTTTTTAACATAATCCTTTATTGGTTCTTTGGGAATTTCACATCATGCACCCCATCCCATCATCTCCCAGTCCTCTGTATCTCCCCTTCACCCTTGTAGCACTCCCCTCAAAAAGGAAAACTTAAAAAGAACTAAAAAAATAAAAATTTGAAAGTACAAATAAGAATATTGATGTGGGAACTCCCTCTGTGTGCTGTGATTACCATTAATGAATAAAGAAACTGCTTTGGACCTATAACAAGGCAGAACTTATGTAGGCAGGGAAAGCTAGGTTGAATGCCGAGAAGAAGGAAGGCGGAGTCAGAGAGATGCCATGGAGCCAGAGCCACTGGCGGAGATAGACATGCTGAAACTTTGCTGGTAACCCACAACCTCGTGGTGATACACAGATTAATAGAAATGGGTTAAATTAGTATGTAAGAGTTAGCCAATAAGAAGCTAGAGCTAATGGGCCAACCAGTGATTTAATAGAGTTTCCTTGTGATTATTTCGGTTCTGGGCAGCTGGGACGAAGAAGTGGCAACTTGCAGCAGAATATTAATTAAAAATAAACACAACCAAAAAAAAAATACAAACGCAAACAAACAAAAAAAGCAAACAAAAAAGCACTTCACTTCTCCATCTCTCCTGGTTCTCTATCATGTCTTCATTTGTCTCAGTGGCACTGGGAGCTGTTGCTACGTATTGTGCAGTAGACCATTTGTCCAAACAGTCTTCTTTGCCAGTGTTCATTGTGTAATGCATTGTTGGTCAGGTTCAAGGCCTCTGATATCTAGAACATAGACAACACTGGACCTCACCAACATTCCTCTCTGATATCCTGCTGTTGTACATGAAGATCCTGCAGCTATGGTTCCTCAAGACTGGTCCCTTCACACACTCCAACAAGTCACAGGTGAGGTAGATGTTGGGGTGTGCCAACTCCAAGTCCTGAGTTGATCAGTCTGCGATGCTGGGATGACCCCCTTCAGGTGAGTGGCTGAGCCAATTCTCCTGTGCCCATGGTAAGGAAGGGGGCCAGCTCTCCCATGCTGAGATCATAGGCTCTGCCATCCCAGCCCCCTTAAGGGGTACGGTCAGCTTTTCAGTGAGGAATGAGTGGCTCTCCCCAGGCCATTGAGAGGTAGAGGCAGCTTAGTGTGGCCCTTATACTTTAACACACGGTTCAGCACATGGTTCACATGGGCTCCTGTGGAGACATGGGCAATGGACATTAACACAGACCCCAGCTGCAGCAAGACCATACTCAGACATGGCCAGTAGGAGTAGCTTGAACCTGGATGTCATCATGGCCCTGGGGAGTGAGGTGCAGTCCTCTTACATCCAGACGGGCCCAGCAGCAGCATGGCCCACAGACCCCCGCATGGCCCCAAGTGGTGGTCCAGATCCCAGACACCTACATGGTCTTTGATAGCAACAAGAACCATGAGGCATCAACCCTAGCTATGGCAGAGACATGATAATTTTTAAAGTTTATGTTGTCTCCTGTGGGTACACGCACCACATGCATTCATTACCCACAGAGCCCATAAAAAGGCATTGGATTCCCTGGAGCTGGAGTGAGCTGCCATGTGGGTTCTAGGATTTGAACTCTTGTCTTCTTCAAGAGTAGCAGATGATTTTACTACTGATCCATCTTTTCAGCACCCCCCAAAACATAATGTTAATAATTTCTGAAATTATTGTAAAATAACATCACAAAATAGTAACAAGATATCTTTACCTTCTTTTTTACATTCTAACACTTGAAATATGTATATTTTAAATCATCTCAATTGAATGTTAAATTTTCATTGGAAACACATAAACTATATGTGGACTGAATATAATTTGTAATTGTAAAAATTAGGCTCCTACATTCAAATTCTTCTAAACATACGTACGATTTTCCAGTAACTCATTCAAGTATTGGTTTTTATATTTGAATTTAAATTAATGAAAATGAACTAGTAGAGTTGCAGACGCAGCTCTGACAGGCACAGAGATCAGAAATCATTACACTTGTCCTTACAAGAACATAAAACCAAAAAAAAAATCTTGAAAATAGATGGTGTATGTGTGTATGTCTGTGTATTTAACCCATCATAAAACTGAGGTTGCCAGACAGTGTTCCATATAGAAATCTGAAGAAAAAACAAAAACAGAAACAGGCAAGATCTACCTACTGTGGCAGAACTTTCCAGCTATAAACTGGTAGACACCTTAAACTATGAATTCTGGGGGCTAGAGAGTTAGCTCAGTTAAGAGTACCAGCTGATCTTCCAGAGGATGCAGATTCCTTTCCAGCACCCACATGGCCTCTCACGACTGCCTGCAACTCCAGGGGATCCAGTGCACTCTTCTGGCCTCCTTAGCCACTGCACACATGTGGTGCACACACACAGGCAGGGAAAATGTCCAAACACATAAGTAAATAAACTAGTTTTTTTTTAAATGATAATTCTGATGAACTGCTGGAAGTTGAGTGTGCTCTAAGGCAAGCAAAAAAAATGCTGAGGCCACAGTCTTAGGGCCCACATTTTCCTAAGAAACTATATTGTCTTTATTATGAAAAGCCAAGGAACTATTTCCTCCTTGTGGCTCTGAAAAGTGGAGGGAAAACCATTTGGAATAAGCCCTAGATAGTTTCTATTATAAAGACCCGTCCTCCGTGGAAAGACTTAAACACAGCCCTCCCCACCCAGACATCAGGACTTTCATCCTGTTTCTGTCACCTCTTGCTGTCCTGTCCCATCTCAGAGCAAGCTAAAAGTACTCGCAGTGGTCACATCTAAAGATTCAAGTCCTGTGAAAGGGTGAGATTGATCACAGGATTTTAAATGCTTCTGCCTCAGTTTTTTATCACTATCTCAGCAGGCTGCAGTATGATGACATCAGATTACAGCTACAAGAGCCACAAAGCACCCCAAACAATAACACAAAATATATTTCAAACAGTCAGAAGAGAGTAAGCATTTATTATCATTAGACTCCAGTATGATACAGCTTCCGGACTAACTCTGGTTAATAGGTAAGAAACTCTGATGGGCAGCAGAAGCAGGAGAAGGTGCCAGGGTCTCAGCTGCTGCAGCCGGCAGTAGACCTTAGCATTGTTCACATGACACTCGTTTTCCAGGCTTGCATGAGTTATGAGGTCATAGAAACTTCCACTCAGATTTTAGAGAAAGTCCTAGGAGGCCAGGTAGTGACAGTAAGAACAAGATCCCTGCAGGCAGGTCCAGAGAGGTCAACACAGCAGCTGTAAGTGAAGTAGGAGAGATGAGGGAGACATTAGAATGTTGGAGATGCCAGACACTTGGCGTTCTGCAAGCAAAGGTGAAGGCAGCGACTACAGGGAGACGCTAAGTGGGCTGCACTGAGCAATGCCCTGGGGATGGGGTTGTTGAAGCCCCTGGAAGCTGACCCTATGCCATGTACCTTTGATACTAGACATGGAATAACAGGGTTTAATGTTTGTCCTGGTAGATTTCTGTCTTGCTTTCCTGTATTTCCTTTCTATGCTATAATTCCCTCCCTTTGGAAAGAGAAATAACTCTTTTACTATGCTATGTATTTTGGAAGTCAATTTGTTTTGATTTTATAGGAGCATATTTCTAAAGAATACATATAAAGAATATATCTTGAGCCTCAGAGAAAGCTTTGAACTTGGACTTTTAAACAATATTTAACTGTTAATATCAGAGGTATTCTTGGAGGTATTTTGCGTTATGGGATAGACATGAGATTTTAGGGCATCACTGGTGGTATGCTATGACTTAAGAAGATGGGAGATGTGTTTGGATGCCAACTCAACAGGGAGTGGACTCGCCGGACCTGTGATGGTCAATCTTCATTGTCCACTTGAAAGGCTTGAGAAGTATGTAGAGATTAATAAAGCACACCTCAGTGAATTTGTGCGGGCATCTCAAACTCAAGAGCAAGGATGTTAGATTTCTGAGACAGCATAAACAGAGACAGGTTGTGGAATATTATTTTAAAATGTCTTACATTTGTTTATGCTGTGGAACATTTGTTTTAATAATGCAAAGATGCATTGCATTCTTTTATGTTGCATTTGTTTAACGCTGTGAAGCTGTGATTCTTTGCCCATCTAAAACTCCTGATGGTCCAATGAAGAGCGGAACGGCCAATAGCGAGGCAGGAGAAAGGATACGTGGGGCTGGCAGGCAGAGAGAGTAAATAGAAGGAGGAATCTGGGAGGAGAAAAAAGGAAGGAGCAAGGAAAGAAGGGGGCACCCAGCCACCCTGCCACTCAGCCAGCCAGTCACCCAGCAACCCAGCCAGTCAGCCACCCTGCCACCCAACTAGTCAGCCACCCAACCACCCAGCCACCCAGCCACCCTGCTACCCTGCCACCCAGCCACCTAGCCAGCCAACCACTCTGCCAGTCATGGAGTAGGAGTGAAAGTAAGATCACAGAAGTAAGAAAAGGAAAAGCCCAGAGGCAAAAGGTAGATGGGATAATTGTTAAGCAAAGCTGACTAGAAACAAGCCAAGCTAAGGCCTGGCCTTTATAAGAAAGAATAAGACTTTGTGTGTGATTTATTGGGAGTTGGGTGCCCCCCCCAAAAAAACCCCAAAAGAACCAAAAAGAGTAAGAAACCAACATCTGATCTTCAACCATCGGGGCTGTGTTTATTAGCACACATGGCAAAGGGAGCCATCTCCCACACAGAGAAGGGTCTGCCGGGGGAAAGTGACTGTGACCCTTTGTAGGGACAGGGTAATGGGCTTGGGGATGAAGGCGTTGTTGCAGCTATAGGGTCTGTTACAGACTTTCCTTCTGGAAACTGTTTGCCCAAGGTGAGGCAGACCTACCTTGGGAGACAGGCTATCTCTACAGACATCCATATTGGACTGACTAATATGCCTGAGTAAGGGCATCTGAAACCTCATAGGAATCTTGTTTTACAACCAAGGCCCCACGACAGAAGATAGGCCCTTACTCTAGGTGTCCATGGAATACACTAGAGGCCTGGATGGAATACAGAAGAAGGAAGGAGTCTGCTAGTGTGGACATCTTCTCTCTGTCTTCTAGCCATCATGAATAGAGCCGCTGTGTTCCCATCATGCCCTCTCTACTATGGTGGGCTAGCAGCTCTAAAATCCTAAGCCATAGCAAACTGATTCCCTCTTAACTGCGATGCAAAGTCTATGCAATTTCAATGACTAAAGGAGAAAAAGGACACACACATACTTGGGGGGCGGTATATGTATGGGGACAAAGCAGTATAAGAGGTGGGAGTTCAGGGGGTCTAGAGCATACAAGAAGGAGACACCTCAGAAGGAACTCCTCTTCCTTTGGCACACCGATGTGGTCAAGAGGGTGGTCCACAGGGCAGGAAGCTGAGGAAGCGCCTCGTGGTGAACTCTAGTTTCTCTTTGGAGTTCAGGCAAGGCTAAGAGATCTTTAGTGATTACCCTGGACTGTGTAGCTTCTAAGGGATCAAGAAAGACTTAAAGAGGGGCCATTAGTGTTGCAGAAGTATTTGCCAGGTGCAGTTCTGTGCTTGCATGTTGTCATTCCTATCCCCATGGCAGGAAAAAAAGCCAAATAAACTGAAAATACCAACTTTTCATTGATTCATCAGAAAGCCAGGATTACCAGGGCAATCCATCACTACTGAAAAACTAGATAGGCAATTACACAGAACTTGCAGCAATAAAGGACTGAAACTGCCAAAGCCAATAACACAATAGTAACTTGCTAACTAGAAGCTGATCCAAAGGCTAACTTGGGAGTTAAAACTCCTGTGAATGCAATCTTAGAAGGGCTTCCCACTCTTAGATGATTTTACCTCCAAGAAGTCAGACACAGGGAAGCAAGACATGCAGGAGAGGTAAAAGCCACGAGTCACATGACAACACGTAGAAGAACAGAGATGGGTTAATTTAAGTCACAAGAGCTAGTGAAAGAGCCTAAGCTATCGGCTGGGCTTTCAGAGTTAATAATAGTCTCTGTGTCATTTTTTTGTGAGCTGGTAGCCCAAAGAAAAAATCCATCTACTGCCAACCAACTTCTCTCAATGAAACTGGAACCTGTTTTTAGAAGTCACCCACGTTTTGGGTAGGGTGCTGGGGTGGGCATCAGGGGTGTAATCCCTTTGAAATGATCTCCTTAGGGTGTGTTCTCCATAGCAAAGTTTTACCCTTCAGAAAAAGCACTTTATCAGAAACTTGTGGTCAATCTACAAAAGCCTGTACCATTTCAAAGACACCCTAACCACGCCCCACCACAGACTGTCATATAAAAACCAGCTTGCTAGTCCACCACTCCACTCTTCTCTCTGTCTTTGAGAGATGGCCTTGGCAGTTTGATTCCCAAGAAACCTTCCTTTCTACCCAAGGAGTGGCTCAGTACAGTGACCCCACTATAAGTACTCACAGTTCTAAGTCATCTAAGAAATGATGGGACAACTTCAAAAGCAATAATACACATAATCTGAATGCCACATGGTGGCATACGTGAAATAAAAATGGCCAAGGATTTTCCAGAAGAACAATGGGCACTAGTTCCCCGGTGCAGGGAATTAGGAGATAGAGGACCCCTGAGCATTTGCTTCTTGTTCTGAAGACCTGGCTTCATTTCAGCGCCTTACAGTGAAACAAGACTACCAATCAAACAACAAAGCCCTAGCTGCATGATAGTCAAATTTTAGAGGTGCCAACACAGAGAAAACCTTAAATGGAAGGGAAGGAAAAAACATAACCAGCCTGTAAGGAACTAAGCAGAATCATAGATGAGTTCTCATCAGAAAACTGAAAGCGAGAAGACGATGGGTAAGGTAGTTAAATCACGGAAGGAGGCAAATCTGCCAGCTTAGAATTCTATGTCCACTGAAATTATCCTTCCAAATACTCTGTCTCCTGTTAGAATCTGAGGCAGCTTATAGGGACGGGAGACAAAAAGAGACAGGAGCCTGACCTTTCGACAGAGGGAATGTGCTTGTTGGCACACACTCTCTCCCATAGGAAGTTGAAAAATCTGGTAAAGAAAAAATAGGCTGTGTGTAATCTGAGGTCGCTCATTCATTTCCCGGCTGCCCAGACCCAAATAATCACACAGAAGCTATATTGATTACAACATTGCTTGGCCTATTAGCTAAGGATTCTTATTAACTAACTCTTATGTCTTAAATTCACCCATTTCTATTAATCTGTGTATCTCCATGAGGCGTGACTTACTGGTAAGGTTCTGTTCTGGTATCTTTTTCCTTTAGTAGCTACATGGCGTCTCTTCTACTCTGCCTACTCTCCTTCTATATCTCTTCCAGCCTGGCTATATTCTGTCCTGCTATAGGCCAAAGCAGCTTTATTCATCAACCAATAAAAGCAACACATGTACAGAAGGACATCCCACATCATTGCGACCCTTTATTGGAGGTGGGGAGAGGGTCTTAGGAATGTGGAAAGGGTAGCAGCGCATAGACCACACTTCCCCTCCTGTAATCTCTCCTTCCTGACGTTGCTTGCCCAAGACGAATCAAGCTGTCCCAACTGACATTCCTCTCTAAAATGAGAGAATTATTTGTAACATAGGAGTCGTGTTCTACAAGAGAGGAACGGAGAGAATTCAGAAGCAGCAGCAGACCCACCCTGCCACAGTGTTAAAAAAAGCTCTCAGTGGAACAGGAAAGATGATTAGGCCAGAAATTTGGATATAATAGAGTATCAAAGGGATAAACAAAGGTATAATCAAATGCTTTGTTTTTCTTAATATGAGTTGACAGTAAAGTAAATTGTTTAATGTCAGTGAAAGTCCATCGGGTCACTGACTATATGTCATGCACAAGAGAAATGAGTGACAAGGGAGTCATTGGAGAAGGGAATAAAGCATTGTGAAGAGCCCATGATACTGTACTTGTTCCATATGCAAAGAGGTAGACACACTAACTGCAAAATTACATTACAAACTCTAAGGCAACCACTAATACAACAGAAAAAGATCAATGTGATGGTTGTGCTGCAGAGATGAAAAAAATGGAATAATATAAACTCAAAAATGTCAAAAGGAAACAAGACTTTTAAAAGGCAATGTTCAACAGTTTAAAAAACAACAGATATTAACTAATTTAATGGCATCAATAATTACTTTTAGTGAGAATTAGCTAAGGAAAAGAGAGAGAGGTTGTCACAGTGGACTAAAGGGGAACACACAACCCTATATCTGAATACTCTACCCCCTCTAGAATCTCTTGTAATCCAGGATACCCTCAAACTGTAGGAGAGGCTAGGCTCTCAGTCCTGATCCTCCTGCCTCTACCGCTGAGTGCTGAGATGACAGGCAGGTACTACCACTCCTGGTTCACAATGTCATACATATACTACCATGAGATAAGTTGTCATTGTTCTTTGTTATTTGGTTTCCTGTTATTAAAAAAGAAAAGAAATGAACAAAATAGTTTTTCTAAAAAACCAAGAACAAAACCAAAATACACTGATTACCTTTCCTACTTACTGGTCACTCCAGAGAGCATATTAAAAGATAGAACCTTTCAAAATGGTGGCCAACTGACTGTAAGGGAGTAATTGTGGGGGACTAAGGTGTGGGGGAAACTGGAGTCAAGTGGCCTTGCCATCTGGATCCAAACTCATTACTCTTCTGCCATCCTGGAGAAGCAGGGAACATTATATCACTTCCATTTTACAATCTGTGAAAATTTCAAGAAAAATAATGCTTTTAGGGCTGGCTTGGTGGCACACACCTTCAAACCCAGTACTTGGGATGCAGAGACAGGAAGATTTCTGGTCTACTGGCCAGCCTGGTCTACATAGTGAGTTCTAGGTGAGCCAAGGCTCCACAGTGAGATTCTGTTTTTAAAACAGGGAGCAGAGGAACTAGAGAGACGGCTCAGTGGTTAAGAACACTTACTGTTCTTGCAGAGGACCTGAGTTCAGGTCCCAGGACCTACATGACCACTCACAACTATCTGTAACCCCTGTTCGAGGGGATCCATAGCCTTCTGGTCTCCACAGGCACTGCATACACATATATGCAGGTAAAACACTCATACACATAAAACAAGAATAGGTGAATATATTTAAAGGTCCTTTCAATGATTTTTTAAAGTACTTTAAAAAGATCTCTTCAGGAAATTCATCCCCCTTTCATCTGGTCCAGCACTTGGGCCACGATCTCTTCTATGCCTTGCAACCCTGTATTTGTTGGTCCCAACACCCTCGTCCTTGCCCATTCCCATGATAGTTCTGTAGGAAATGGGTGCTATTCTCTGTAGTTGTGAACTTCGCATCTCTCTTTGGCTCTAAAAGACGAGGGCTGGAGCAAAGCATCGAGCAAACCACTGGGAAGCAATGGTGCTTTCTGGAATTTCCAGCAACTTGCTCAGTTCCTCTTTCTTCCTTGGTCCTGCTCAGAGCTGCCTTGTTGGCAGGCAGCCGCCTGTGAAATGCACATTTCAAAGCAAATGGCTCCAGGAGCTCATAATTGCTGCCAAACGTGTGTGGATTTTAATAGCCCATTTTCATTAGCCTTGTGTGAAATCACCTGTCTCTGTGTTGTTACCCAACTTAATTGTCAATTATGGTGATTAAGCTTGGCTTTCACTACCATCTCTGGTAATCATCAGTATTATCTCCAAGGCTGAACTAAGGAAGAGAAAATCATGCTGGAGGTGCAGGTGAATATTTTGGTGTCAGTGAATGAAGAGGCATTTTTTCTTTGGGTTGAACGAAACCTGAGCAGAGCTGTCATTTCCAATCTTCATCTTAGGCCGTGTCACCTCCCTAATCACTGTGTTTCCTGTCATCAAAGAGTTCTTGGTGCCCTTCCCCTTCTCCAGAGATGCACACCCTAGCTAATTAAAGGCAGCAGGTCAGACACTTACAGTCCTTCAGATGCTTTTAGCATTTTTGATGGTCTGAAGTTAGGGATGCCCCAGAACATTTTTCACGGACAGTATAGAAAGTCCATCATTGGGAAGTGTGAGGATTTTGATTACTGTTTTTGTTTGCTTGTTTGCTTTTAGATTTATTTTATTTTTATTTATGTGTATGTACATGTGCATATAAGCACCCGCAAAGGCCAGAAGAGGGAAACAGATCCTCTTGGAGCTAGAAATACAGGTACTGTTAGCTGGGAACTGAGCTTGGGTCCTCTGAAAGAGCAGCAAGCTGTCCCAACCTCTGAGCCATCTCCCCAGCCCCATGCTGATTCCAGTTCTGCATTATTAAACCACGTCGACTTTAAGCATCCTGGCTTAGCATCTATTATATAGACTCATTTAACTGTGCTTCCTGACCAATATTTTACTCTTGGAATTTGAAATGAACAGTACTGAAAATGCAAGAAACCATTATCCCTTTCCTCCCCCTTTACACATTTCACTTTGGTAAAATTCCCAAGCCCACTTCTGTTATGCTTTTATGAGATTCCAGGACATGGCAAAATAATGAAAGACGTTTTAAAAAAATGCTATCATTAGACACCATCTCTAGTATTTGAGTGCCATGTGTGTCCCCGAGGTTTGTGACACTCTAAAGATTTGATGGCTTTCTTTATCTCTCTAAAACCCTTTGAGGAAACTAATAATACATTTTTTTCAAATTCTAATTTAATGGGAAAAAAGAAATTAAGTCATGTAAGCTTAAGGGATATGAAGAGTGAGTTGGTGCCTGCTTGCTGCCTTCTGGGGTTAAGAAAGAATAAGCTGTATCACACACAGTCTTAATAAAAACACCCAGAACCACAACCAGGCAGAGTTCATCTCGCAAGCAGGGCTGAGGCACGGAGAGATAAAGAAATTAGCTTCCTGGATGTGCCTTTTCCTCTCTCAATAGATTTGTTCACGTTTAATCCTGTTTCCAGGGCCTTGTTTTTAAAGGCCTGGTGATCACCAGTGGGTTCCTTTTGTCACTCTGGTCTCCCCGGTCTGTACCCCACATCAGACAGTCTTTGTCACCTTCGTTCTCACGCATCCCGCAGAGTGAGCAGTCAGAACTCGGATGCTTAGGGCAGTCTCCTAACTGCTCGGAATAAACGCTTCCCTTCAGATAGAAATATTTGCTATTTTTTATTTTTCCCAAGAGGAGGATATGATTTAAAATATCATCTAGATGTAAAATTTGAGTACACATTACTCTTTATTTTCTCTTCTATGAAGCTTGGCCAACGATACCTTTTCTAAATCCCTGCGGCAAAATAAACCACTGTTTTGCCTGTGTTCTACTGTTTGTCCTTAACATGTGTTACCCATTTTCCTTACATGGGTTGCCAACTTTTCTTATATGGGTCGTAGTTAAGATTTCCCTTGCTGTGATCAACACCATGACCAAAGCAACTTGGGAAGGAAAGAGTTTATTTCATCTTACCCTTCCAGGTAACAGTCCATCACTGAGGGAAGTCAGGCAGGAACTCCAGGCAGGAGCTGACGCAGAGGTAATGGAAGACCCATGTAGGACCCAGCCATGACAAGCTCTATAGAGGCCCACGAGTCTCAGTAGTTTACCCTAAGGCAATACCTGGTTCCAAGAAAGACCACAAACTAAGACTACCCAGGCACCACCCAGGAACAGACCATCCAAAGGAAATTCCTAATGTTCCAACCGCTGTAGATAGGATCACCTGCCAACACACACACATCGTTTTTCACCAGGACACCCTAGACAAATGCCAGTCAATCAGGGGTCTTGAACTTTAGAAATCCCTCATCCCTACCTTTGCTTCTATAAAAACCCACCCTAACTAAGCTCAGGGCTCTCTGATCACTCCAATATGTTGGACACAGGAAGAGTTTGAGTTTGCAAAGTTACATAAGAATAAAGGGTCTTTGCTTTTATACAGAGGACTCAGTCTCCTAGTTGGTTTTGGAGGGACTCTGTGATCTGGGCATAATACTTACTGGCTTGCTCCTCATTACTTACTCAGCTCCTCAATACAACTCAGAACCACCTGCATAGGGCTGGTACCACCCACAGTGGGTTGGGTCCTTCTGGTGTGGGAGGTCTTTCTGTCTATGTGTTGCTTATATTGGTTAATGAAAAAAGAACTGCTTTGAGCCCATGGCAAGGGCAGGACAGAACTAGGTGGGAAAGTCTAGGCTATATGGTGGAAGAAAGAGGGTGGAGTCAGAGAGAAGCCATGTAGCCTGCCGGGGACAGATGCTGAGAACTTTACCCGGTAAGCCACAACCGTGTGGTGATATACAGATTAATGGAGATAGCTTAAATTAATATAAGAGTTAGCCAATAAAAAGCTAGAGCTAATGGGATAAGCAGTGATTTAATTAATACAATTTCTGTGTGATTATTTCGGGACTAAGTTAGCAGGGTAGCCAGGAACCAATAAGCGACCTTCTCCAACACCCTTCCACATCAAGAAAACACCCAACAGATTTGCTTATAAGTCAGTATTATGCAGGCATTTTCTTATTTGAGAGTCCTCCTTCCAAATGAGTCTACTATAAAGCTTTTACAGCTCAATAAGCATCTTCACCGACAAAATAATCCAAATCAGATCAAATCAAACTGAATTAGAAAAAGCCCAGGTTTAATGGATGCCAGTGCTCCTGGGTGGCCTTCTAGTCCCCAGAGAGAAGATGGGAAGGAAGATCGGAAAATCACAGAGAGGGGTAAGAAGAACTGGAAAGACCACGTGTTCGTTCTTTGGGGGGGGGCAGTTTAAATAGCCTATGGGAATGGTCTTGACCCTCTCTGGGCAGGGATCATTGTTTAGCGGGCTTTCTCGGAGGTGGAGTCTGGACTGCCGTAACTCCCAGAGGAAGGTCTTTGGGGTGGAAAAGTTCCACCCAAACATTATAGAATGGATGCCAGGGGCTGGGGTGAAGCTTCCAACCAAACATTCTAAACTCCTTAGAATAAGGATGCTAGGGACTGAGGTGATGCTTCCAACCAAACATCTACCTTGCTTCAAATCGACTTAAAACTCACTAACCAGAACTCACCCCTTTACCACATCTCCTCCACTGGTTGTTGAACAATCCCAAATTATCATCCTCAGGTTTGGCCGAGAGTCCTTTCTCAGCTGCTGTGCAGGCAAGAAGAGGCAGATGAGGGGAACAAACATTTCAAACATTCTCGTGCATCAAGGATGAGTGTCTCCTAGGAGAATTTATGGTCTCTTTGTGGACTGATTGAAAATAGGATGAAAATCTCTGGCTGCTTGGAGGGGTTGTAGAGGCTCAGCTGTCCTCTATTGGCCAGGGCTGTTCGAATCCGGCAGGCTCAGTGGTTCTCTATTGGCCAGGGCTCTCCGAATGCGGCAGTCTCCTTGCTGGTTTTCCAATGTTTTGTCTGAGCTTTGTGATACCAGGCCTTCAGAATAGCTGACTATGGTCTAATTCGAAAGTCTTGTTTTCTGTGATGTTAGCATCTCTTGTCAGGGCCGAGCCTGTGCTGTATCCCTTCCTATCCTGTAATGGAGCACAGTGTCTGGCCTGTAGAGGACAATGACGTTTGCTAAGCAGACCTGGATTTCCACTCAGTGCATCCGCTCTGAAATTTCAGGGAAGGCAGAGGCAATGTTAGGCGCCCATTTCCTTCCTTTAAGGTTTCCGGCCTCACTGTATATCCAAAGCATAGAAACCAAATGTGAGAATGCCTCTGACAGCAGGGTCTCTTGACCCACTCTGGGTTTTCACAAACGCTGTGACACCTGTCCAGCATCTTCCAGGACAACAGATTGCTGATTCTGGACGCTTCTTGGCTTATCCTTTGAGCTCAGGGATCAGCTTCTTCCTGGTGATTTAAATTTGGAGCTGCCTCCAAGATTTTAGCCCCAAGAATCAAAAGCTCCCAGAATTTTCCTGCAAAAGTTCCCTGATTCAACCACCCCTCTGCCAGTTGGGGTTTCTGAGGAAATGAACCAAAGCCGGCAGTGGTTGCCATGGTGACTGAGTCTCTCTGGAGTGAAGTCAGGGGAGCATCCATTTAAAGGAAAGGGGGAGCAATATTGTACTAGAATGGCCATCTGCTAACAGTGAAGTGGTCTTGGAGAAAAAAAAATCCATCCGAGCCCGGGGGGGGGGGGGGCGGGAGCAGCCAGGAAGCCTTAAGGAATGTGGAGTCACTAGATTAGACATTTCTCAACAACTCAGCGAGAGGTCAGGGAAGTCACTGAACAGCAGTGACGTTCCAGCCTAGGAGAGGAGATGCATCAGAATGGGCCCTGGGAGGAGGGCTTTGTGCTTCCCCAGAATCCCTCGGCATCCTGGGAGTGGCCGCAGAGAAGACAGAGGAATCACCCAGGGCTTGGCCTTGGCAAAATCTACTAGGCGTCGATTAAACACACCTGTGCAACAGGCACACCTGTGGTGACTAACAGCCACACGCGCGGCGCTGTTTCCTTAAACAGTTCGCCGCAGCTTGAACAGGAATACATCTGCGTGAAGCTGAAGTGTACGGAAAGCAAAAATGCGTTCATCGCTCTACTGAGAGTCCCTAAATCACAAAATGTTTACGAGAGTGAGCGTGATAATTTATTGATGGGTGCAGAAGTGCCTGCCGCATAGTTTATGCTCAGTCAAATCTCATCCTGACTTCTTTTTTTTTTTTTTTAAGAAGTCATTTTCTCAGAATCTGATGAATGTTCAGTCTGAAGCTGCAGCCCAGCTAGCACATTTCTTCATGATGCTTGCAGGTGATGGACACACGACATGGGCCTGTGGGGTACCTGGAGAACAAGCAGCATGTGCCTCGGGATCCAAGGCAGCACTGTGACCTCCAGGGGCAAGTCAAAGGTCTTTTGGCTTCTCTCTTCCAGGCCTCCCCTCACTGTGGCCCTCTCTCAGGATGACCAGGATCACAAAAGCCTCTCCCTGAGGAGGGGGTCTGGCTTGAAGTTGGCCGGATCTTTACCAGCAGGTTAACCTCTTGAAGGGCAGCCTCAGCACACACAGATGGGTCTTCTGTTCTTTCTTTTCACTTTCTTCAACAAGCAGCTTCCTTTCTCTCCTCCAATAGGGTGGCTGTGTCCAGTGCTCTTGGGCGAGAAGACCCAGGGTTGGCAGAGAGGCTCAGTTCCTATGAAAAGCCAGAGCAGAGACTTCTTTCTTCCTTGTTGAACATTATAGATGAGAGGTCTAGGGTGAGGATTTAGGTTGTTGGAGGTGCACAGAGGTGGGTCGAGCAGCCTGCTTTGTTTTCAGGCTGTTCAAATAAGCCTAGCTCAAAGGAATAACCTCTCTCTGAGGTAGTCTAGGCCATAGGAATCTTGTCTGGGAAAGATCTTACATTGTAGAGGGTTACTTTACTAGCTTGTGTTTACATTTTCCTTTGTCTACAACCCTCAGAACCTGTCCATTGACAGTCGACAGGTAAGGACTAGGGTTTTCTTATGGCTGTATCTGCTGAATTAAATACCACTTTAATACAATTCCAATGTCATTTTTGATAGTTCTATCCTGGCCAATGCCTGATTCAGTATTCATCTGATCACTTCAACCTCAATTTCCTCACCAAGTGGCTACAAACATACTAACTTAATTTCAGCTTTGTAACTGGGAAGTCAGAACAATCCACTTTTGTATTCTTTTTTTTTCTGTGTTGAGGATGTATATGTGTGCATCAAATGCATGCCTGATGCACATAGAAGCCAGAAGAGAGTATCAGATCTCCTGAAGCAGAGATACAGGAGTTGTGAAGCCTCCTGATGTGGAGGCTGAAAAGTTGTCTGCGCCCCATCAACCTCTACACCAATACAATAATCCGAATCAGAACAAATCAAGCCAAATTAGAAAACGCCCACGTTTAGTGGATACTAACTCTCCCCAGTGGCTTTCCAAGCCCTCAGAGAGGAGATGGAGAAGGAAGATTGAGGAAACACGTGTTTGTTCTCTGGGGAACAGTTTAAATACCTGTGGGAGTGGTCTTGAGCATCTCTGAGGAGGGGTCATCATTTGGTGGGCTTTCTCAGAGGTGAAGTCTGGACTGAGGCAACTCCCTAGGGGAAGGGCTTGGAATGGAACTTTCTACCCAAACATTCCAGACTCCTTGGATACATGGATAACAGGGGCTGGGATGAAGCCTGGACCCAAACATTCTAGACTCTTTGGGTATATGGATGCCAGGGACTGGGGTGAAGCTTCCAACCAAATAGAGGCTAAGAAGTAAACCCAGGTCCTCTACAAAACCAGCAGGTGCTCTTAACCGTTGAGCTGCCTCAAAATAAAATTTTATTTTATTTTTTAAATAAATTTTTATTTTAACCTTTTTCTATCTGTTAGTCACCTGAAAGCAAGAATCATGTTTTACTTTTGTCTGTGAAAGCGTGACTGTAGTATAGCGTCCATAATAGTTTCCTAATATATAAGTTTTTTACACTAGAAAAATTAATTCTCAAAGTTTGAAGGGACCCAAGAAGTCACAGGATTCCTCCCCACATCCAGGAAGGAATCTCCTCCCAAACTTTCACAGCAGGTAAAGACTGATTCTCTTCCAGGTGATGGGAAGCCCACTGCCTTGCATTTAGTCTGCCTGCTATTGGGCCACGTCTATGCTGGGTTAAGATTCTCTGTGATGACACACATGGGCCATGTGCAGCTCGTGTAGCCCCATAGCTCCTGCCTAAGTCCATCTGACAGCCACGCCGTCCGCACAAGTCCGCCTCGCAGTGCTTCGGCCATTCAAAGCAGCTTTTCCACTACCTGGGTATTCATATCTTCTGTAGTCGTCTATGTTCTTCAGAAAAATGCCCTTCAAGATGTTCTGATCCTCCATCTGTCCTCTGAGGACGTGGTTGGATCGTTGTTCTTGTGAGTTGTGGTGCCTGGGACAGCCCACACACAACGGTGAGGCGAAGTGGCAGACTTTCCCAGCAGAGGATGTGCTGGCTCCTTGTGTAAACTCCGCTGTGGAGTGACTCTCACTCATCCCAAACTTGGGTAGGGTTTAGAGAGCAGGTAAATGGTCTTCTGTTTATTCCTCTCCATGAATATAATGTTCCCGGTGACCAGGAAAGCCCATCAAGATGTATTTTAGACACCGATTCTCTCAGGAGAAACATTCTTTCAGGTGTTATTGTAAGTATTACTCAAACTAATACGTACAAAGCACTTAAAGTTCCCACACATAGTAGGTACTTAGTAAATACCAGTTTATGTAACTACAACCAACCAGTTATAAATTAAGACAATCTCTAAGTTTCCTGACACACCTAGATTGCTGAGGTTGTATGAAGCTTTAGCGTTTATAGTTACTTTAGGACTCTGAATTCTCTATTACTCAACCAAATACTTATTATAATACACCCTGATCCTGGGAAAGTAGACATAGCTTACATAAGAAAGAAAAACCTTCCTTATTCTTCCTTCATGACTGTGTTAACCAAATGACGAAAATGGTACCGTCATCAGGTGGGTGTTACCAGCAGTAAGCTCATCAAGAAAAGAAGTGAGTTTGCTGGGATGTGGCCTGAAGTGTCTATCAAGAATGAATAGGAAGTGTCAGTTTCAATGTGGAGAGTGAGATTGGTAAATATAGGTAAAACATGATGCAAAAGAAGTAGACATTCATTGAAAATTTGAGCTAATAAATGATACAACGCTAACAGAGACATATGAAGTGAGTTAAACGTAGCAACAAGGAATGGCTGTGCTGGCTGCGTTATTAGGACCGCGACATCATCGAGCCTGTGACTAACTTCTTAAAGGGTGTGGCTCAGGGAGCTTGTGCTTTGGATCCCTGGGGTATTTGTCTAAAACGACAAGTCCATGGTGTTGCCTCAAACCTGTGAGTTGAAGTCACTAGAGGTTGGGCACGGAAACCTGATATGAATAATCAGTCCAGCTGATGCCCACGTGTGCAGAAGGGCGAGCGCATAGGAGGGCAAAGGGTGGGGACTGCATGGAGGAAGGCGGGGATGTCCCTCCTCTACTGCAGAGCCACACAGCTGACTCACGCTGCAAGTCACCCGCCTGGAAGCTGTGTACTTTGGAACTAGGGACTTTCCCCTTTTCTCTCTCTTCACTCTGGACCACAGCATGACAATACAAAGAACATGGGGTCTCCATAGCCGTTAGGCTGGAAAAACAAGTATTAAAGTACTATTACTAGACCATTCAGTGGACAAAGCGATGAGCTCATAATGGCATCTTCATTCTGATAGTTCATTCACTGTAGCGTGTCCCCCACCCATTATGCTTTCTTGTTGTCCCTCTCTCTTCCTGCTAAGACCTTTTCTACTTTCTTGTCATGCACATATATGTGACTATTCCACATATGGAAGGAAAATATCATATTTGTCTGAATTTGGCTTCTTTTGCTAAAAATGATCTCCCATTCCACCCATTTTTCTGCAAATGAACTAATTCTTTTTTCTTTCTTGCTGAATAAAACTCCATTGTGTATATATACCACATTTTCTCTCTTTGCTCAGACACCCAGATCAATTCCTCATCCTGACTACTGTGAATAAACACATTACACACAGATGTGGCGGTCTCTGTTATAGGCTGACTTAGATTCCTTTGGGTATGTCCATAAGACTGGCATAACGATCCTATTGTAAATCTACTTTTAGTTGTTATTCATTAACAAATCTCCATACTGATTTCCTTCAAACAGCCATTAGATGTTTGAAATGCCTCAACAAGCTCACGTGGCCAGGATTTACCTAATGCCATAGATCCCAACAGGTAGAGACCATTGCCATGTATCTCAAAGCACCTTGCCTCCAGAGCAATTACCTGGCACTAGCTCCCAAATAGCTCCTTGGGCAGCACTTCTGACCCACAGAGGTTCACTTCCAGTGGTCAGATTTGTACCATGTGACTCCACCTTCCTAACTGACAGTAAGCTAGAATGAACCTTTCCCTCTTGAGTTGCTTTTAGCAGAGAATGTTATCCTAGAAACAGAGAATGCTATCCTATCAACAAAGGATTTTATCCTAGCAATAGAGAATGTTATCCTATCAGCAGAGAATTTCATCACAGCAACAAAGACACAAATCAAAATATTCTCAGAAAATCATTATCATACGTTTTCTGTATAAAATAGTGAGTTTTATGACATTTTCGCATATGCATTCAATGTATGGGGACATATTTTCCTCCTTCTCCCCCACCCCATTGTCCCTGACTCCTCCAAGTGGGACTCTGATAGGGGAATTCAGCCAATCATATTCTGTGATTGCGGGGCATGTTGCCCTAAGGCAAAAGTTTACCTATAAACCTGGCGGGTAAAAGCCCCCACCCTCTCTCTCTCCCCTCGACCTGGCCTGGATCCAGCATTCCAGACGGGTGGGACTCTGTGTAAGTTTTTCCTTCTGTTTTATTAAAGCTGTATCTTTTGTAAGATAGTCTGGGTACTTTTCATTACCGATTGCCCTGCGTCTTCAGGACTCCTTACTACTTTTGTATGTTTTGTTTTGTCTTGAAGAATTGCTTTTATTTTAAGACAGATCTCACCATGTATATCAGGCTGGCCTTAAATATGGGATCCTCCTGCCTCAGCCTCCTGAGGGACCGTTCTCAGTCATGACTTAGAGTTCAGGCTGGATGAGGGTCTTCCTTTCCTGAGATTAACTGGGAGCTGGGGTTCCCCGAAGAACTGGGATTTACCTAGTAAGAAGTCAGAGAGAGGCTGTTGGGTCAGCAATGATTTATGTCTGACATGCATCCTCCTATCCCTTTCTATGTGCACGCACATGTGCACACACATCATTCTCCAGTTATACTGGAGTTTTTTCCCCAGTGGGCTTTTCCCATATCTTGTTTCTGACATCTGATGGTCTTTACAGGATTACTTCATGTGCTTTCTAGGCCTCACTTAAAATACCTCTTACTCTGGGAAGTTTTTTCTAACTCCCTCCCGAGTCAAGTACCCTAACTCATTGCCATGAGCTTCCTTTGTGTTTGTGTTTCTAAGCATTAATATCCTGTCTTTAATTGATATTCCTCCTACGGCATCTTTCTCGGGGCATATGGCAGGAAGGCGGGATGCCATTGCTTTATCTTCCATTTGGTCACTGGAACAATATTAGGATCACCCTGGCAGGAAGTAAAAAAAGAATGTTAGGGGGGTAAATGAACAGTCTTCTCCAGCAGACCTTAGAATATATTGACTACAGTTTCCGTAAGTTGAGGTTATGTTTGAACTCCTGAAAGACAAAAGAATTTCATATAGATGCCAAAAAGGACACGAAGGAACCTTGCAGTCACAGAAGAAGACATTGCTTTATGATGAGCTCATTATAGAAGTTGGGAAGTTACCCAGATATCACTTTGTCCTGACCTGAATGTATAAGGCAGACCCAACAAGTGTCCAGGCATGTGACAGGGTCTAATGTGGCTAAGCTTGTGCCGTCTGGACTGATGAAAACTCTTGGTCCTTCCTTACTTCTGTGTGGGTTTTCATACCTATACCAAAGAAAGATCTGCTCTGAGCTCTGTCTAGCCTAACTTCCCCTTTCCTTTCTCATGGTTTTACTGCTCACCCCAAATCCTATTGGCTTACTGTTCTTGCACTGTCAAGAGACACCATGATCTAGGCAATGTATAGAAGAAA